ATGGTTGTGGTAAACCCCTGGCTTCCGCCCAGCAGTGTGCCGCCCTCCCCTGGCCGCACCACGCCACCCCCCACCATGGCTTCCACCTAGCAGTGTGCCGCCCTCCCGAGCCATACCACGCCACCCCCCAACATGGCGCCCTGGCTCTCCTTTGACCCCCTCTTCTCTGGTTCTAATGTTTCTGGTTTTCTTTCCAGTATGACAGGCTTAACCTGATCAAAGTAAGAAGCGGTTTTCTCTCCTAATTCCTGACCGTTGTAGAGCTCCTCAGGCCGCCCCTGCCCCACCCCACCCCGCCTCCCCATCTTCCAGGCTCCTGGGCCTTTGCACTGGGAGATATTCTTAGACTCGGGCCAGGAAACCACCTCGAGGTAACTCGGGTTGTTTCCAGCAGCCTTGCAGCCCCAGTGCTTGCTTCCCCGCCTCTCCCAGGGAAGGGGCAGAAACTAGAGGACCCAGCTCAGTTCTCCCTCCCCAGTGGCTTCCTCCTCGCTCCCTCCTCCCCTTTAGACAAACCTATTTATAACCTGCGAGGGACCCCCACCCCTGCTCCTCATCCTGTTCTCCCCTTCCCTCCACCCAGGCAGGGGTGCCACAGTGGCCTTACGAGGGAGGGCAGGCCTCTCTCATGCCAGCACATGCCCCTCCTCACCTCCAGGGTCTGCAGCCCCCCAGGGGGGGTCCTCCTCACCAGCCCACTCCTTCAGGGCTCAGTCCCAGGGGATCTATCACCTCCGAGAGGCTTGGCAAAGTTCAGGGACTCCTGCTGCAGTGGGCACCTCGGGCTCCAGTGGGATTGGCCGGGGGTGGGGGGCTCCTTTGCCCAGAGGCACCCTGAGTGGTCGTGTAGAAGCAGCCGCCGCTAGGAGGTGAAGGGCAGGGCCTCGAGAGTCCCTGACGGTAAATTTCCCACTTCTTCGTAGGCCTAGAGAATACACACTCCTGTCCACCCTTGTCAAAAGGGCAGGTGCTGCTCAGAGCTAGTTAGAGGCAGAGCGTGGCTTCCCTGGCCGAGGTGCTTTGTGACCCCGAAGCCCTTGGTCCAGTCGGATCAGTCCCTACGCTCCGTGCACGGGAAGGAAAACTCCCTCTGCCCGCCGAGCCAGGAAGCAGGCACCTTGTAGGGTAAATCGCAAGAGATCTTGGTCTCCCCCACTTGTCCCAAGCACACACACCCCTCCCCCTGCTTCTAGGGACTTTCTGGGGGCCAGGACAGTGAGGTGAGGCACTGAGGGGTGGGCGAGGCAGTGTTTTCTCAGCTGAAAAGCAGGTGTCTAATGGCACACAAGGGGACACAGGGCAGTCGAGGCTGGCAGCTCCCGGGGCACTCCTGCTATTGGGTGTGCGTTTTAATGACAAGCTACATGGTCCCCTGCCCTGTGACCTCAGAGTTGGGACATCTGCAGGAGGCCCGGGACGCAGAGGTTTCCTGGTGCACACCGGCTCAGATGCACTGAACGGCCCAGAGGGGGCTCCCCTGGGCCGGCAGCCCCTCCTACGACACAGCTGTTTGTGAATATTTGGGTCTAGCCCTCTTACCTGCCAGGATCCCCAGATCAGAGACAGGAAGAGGGTTATGGTGGGGTCATGGGCCCTCTGGGCAGGGCTGTGGGATGGCACTTGGGAAGTGGCCATGGGAAGGACCAAGCATCTCCCTTGGCTACACCCTGGCTTGTGAGCCTGGGCGGGATGGTGAATCCAGGAGACAGCACCACCCAGGCCTCGACCCCCTTCCCCCCACCACCTCCAGCTGCTCTGCCCCCAGGTCAGGGAGTCCGCAGGGTTCTGGGACAACCGGGAAAGCCTGGCGTGGTGGTGGACACTGTCGGCCATGCTGCCGCCACACTCCACTGGCTCCAGGTACAGTCACCTCCAGCCAGCCAGACACGCACGGCAGACATGCTCTACTGCCCTTCGGACTCAGGACCCGCTGGCACCGGGTGGAGGATCCACACCCCTGGGTGGACGTCAGCTGAGGAGTGGGCATGCCAGTAGTCCCCCCACCCGCAGTTCTCACCTCCATCGCACTGTGGGCTGACCTCGAACCCCAGACATACCCCACCCCAACCTACACCTATCACATCAGCACCTCAAGGGATGGGGTCCAGGCACGTGTGTGTGCATACGGGCACGCCCGTGTTCCACGGGTGTGCGTGAAGGACTCCTGGCCATAGCGATTGCAGACGGGCAAGATCTTAGCCACCTTCCTCTTGTCCTAAGAAACGTTCCAGTTCCTTCTGGGGCGGGAACGCAGAGTCCCTGAGCCGCGGAGCCGGAGCCGGACTGCAGTCTGGTTCTGCTGGTGCCGTGTCATGGCCCAGGGGTGGAAGGACCCTCAGAGGCTGTGCTGACTCAGCCCCCGCAGCGCAGAGCCCCAGCAGCAGCTGGTGGGGTAGGAGGAGCTCTGGCTGGCCGTGAGCACGTGGGAGGGGGTTTCTGGGCAGGCCCGTCGTCCCCTACCCCACCCCCAGTGCGCGCCCTGCCTTCTGCGGAGGGGCTGACCTGGAGCGAGCTGGGGTGGGCTCCACGTGTCCCCCGCTCTGGTCAGAGCCGTGGCACCGGCTCTCGGATGCCCACAGCGCATCCCTTGCCCCATCAGCGCTTGGATGGGCGCCGACGCCTCCCATTGAGCTGTAGCTGGTGCTGCTGCCTGCCACCCCGCAGGGGGCTTCCGGCGTGGCCTGCCCCACAGGCCTCCTTTCTGGAGCTGCCTTAGAAAGGAGGGCCCCTCCGGGCGGCCACATGGGAAGCGTCCGGCTGCATTTGGATTCCTCTCCCTGCCGCCTCTGCTGTCTGTGTGACTCCCCTCCCGAGCCAGCCAGGCTCTGGCCCTTCCTAGTAACCCCCCAACTAACTCGAGTTTCTCTTCTGTTTTATCCTTTCAGAAAAGCCAGAGTTGGTACAATGTAAGTATTCCCGTTTCTTCTCTTGTTGTGTCAGTGTGGGGCAGGCCGGGGAGGGGAGCCTGGAGTGCAGTCTGACCCCCATCCCCACAGTGGGCTTTCTCCAACCCTCTCTCCCTCCGGCCCCCGCAGCAGCCCCAGGGTGGTGGTTGGCTTCTGTAGCAGGGAGTCGGAGGAGGGGGGCCCACCTCCCCTACCTCACCTAGGCTCCTCTCCTAGGTGAGGCTCCTCAGGTCCGAGAGGAGGAGTGGTCGGGCCCAGGCATGGGATTCTGCGGCTCAGACTGTGAACTTAGGCCCATGCCTTCACCAGGGCATTTGGGGGGTGCTGCCGGAAGTCTTTCCTCACTAGTAGAGGCTGCCCCGTGCCATGGGCTTTTGTCTGCCCCTGGCATCCTGTCAGGGCCCCCTAAAGCATACTCTAGAAGACCTCACACCCTGGGGGTCTGTGTGAGGGTGCAGTCGGGGCCCCTCAAAGCTTGTGCATGGCGACCCTTCATCCAGCCATGCGTCCAGAGGTGCACCTTGGAGTACTCAGTCCTGCACAGGCTCTGTCCTCCAGTCACTGGGTTAGGGCTTTATTTTCCTAAGAATTATTTAATTTTATTTGTTATTATTATTTTTTAATTTGATCTGAGAGAGATGGAGAGAGAGAATGGGAAAGTAAGAAAGTGAGCCACCAGGTCTGGGACTCAAACCACAGTTGCCCATGTTGGAGTCCAGTGCCTTAACCACTACGCCAGCTGGCAGCCCCGGGCTATGGGAATGTGAACTTTCCCCTGAAGAGCGCCAGCTGGAGTCCTTCCACTGGCCCTACCACACATGCTGTGGCCTGTGGGGCAGCGTGGCCGAGGGACAGGTTGTGTGGCCCTGTCTCCGAGCTGTGGGTCTTCATGCCTGACCCTGATTGGCCACACCTGCCGTTGTTCCCCTCCCCTAAGCAGGCACTGTGCAGCAGGGGACACTGCCAGGCTGTGATGGCAGGGCCGAGGGGGCCCGGTTAGGGTTAAGGATGGAGCCAGCTGGAAGAGGTCTGGAGAGTGTCCCCAGCGTAGCTCTGCAGACCCTCCGAGCCGGACACCTGGCTGCGGGTCATCTTTGGTGCCGCCCGCCTCTGCTCCTGGTCATGGCCTGTCAGCCGGTTGGTGGGCGGAGCACAGGGCAGCGGGGGCTGAGATGGTACGGAGGGGAAGAAGCCCAGCTCTGCCCCCATCCTCGCCCTCTGCCCCCAGGGGCTCCTGGCATCCTGGAGAGGAGAGAAACCCTCTGCTGAGGGGGGAGGAGCCCAGCGGTTATGTCGCCAGGGCCTACCACCCCTCCCAGCAGTCCCTTTGCCTTCCGGGCGGGCGTCACACTCATTAGGGGCGGCATCGCACATGTTTTTGGCGGCATTTGCAGCATTTGCACGTTTGCACACGCTAGGAGTGGCGTTTGCACACATTAGGGGTGGTGTTCGCACAGGTTAGGAATGGCAGTTGTACCCCGCTAGCGCCTCCTGATGGTTGTCATGGACAACTGGCACCCTGACTTGTAGGCAGTCTTTATCCTTGTCACCCCC